AAATATATACAATAAGATAAATATAAATATATACAATAAGATAAATATAAATATATACCTTTCGCTAAATTCATGTGCATCTGTTGTAAATGTACAAGTAAATGTTCCACATTGAAAAATTCGATCATTTTCTTCGAGTTCTGATTGAGTCCAAGTAAAAATTACTTCATAAGTTCCTTCATTATCAGCCAATAAAACGTATCCTTTGGTTTGTGTTAAAGAGTCTTGACGAAAATCCCAATATTTGTAATTGAAAATTTGTTTAAGTCTTTGAGCTCCAGATTCACCTTCAAATTTGCATTTGTATTTTTTTTGTGCTGAGTTATAACGAAAGGTAGGTTCATTTTCAAACAAAAATATAAAAATATTTTCTGGAAAAGCATTTATCAAAATTTTTTTATTTCCTACAGAGTGCCGACTAAATCCTAATCGCTTTTTAAGAAGTACTATAAAAGCATTCTGATAATAAGTAATCTGAGATAAAGAAGGCTGGGGAAATAAATGACGTTGAGGTATAATTTTGTTATTTCTATGTTTAGTTCTTTTATGAACCGAATGTTTTTTTCGAGAAGCGAAACTTTCACCACAAAGTAGACATTTAGCTTTATTCGACATTTTGAGGATATCGATATTGTTATGATATGTTGGTACGTTTATATGTCGTACTAATCATGCGTCTATTGTTTGGATTATCATCATCCAAATTATCACATGTGATATCATCAGATTGGAGCCAAATTAGCCCATATGCAATGTCAAATACATGAATTGATTGGTTCAAAATTAAACTGACCTTGAAATTTGATTGGTCAAATCATACGTAAATATGTAAGAGGTCAAATACGTATTTATTTACATGCAGAGGCATAAAAAAAATCTGTGCCAGGTTTTGTCGATCATTGTAGTACAGATCTCTAAACTACAAACCTTATTTCTCAAAATCTGCATAAAAAAACCAGCTTTAGCACTTTAACAAAGTGCACCTTGAGCGATTTTACTATATAACTACCCAACCTTATTCTAAACGCTAATTCTAACATTAATGTGCATTAAAAATTTTGTTTGCACCACAAACCTAGCACAGAATTTTTTCATGCCATGCAGGGACCTAAAAATTATGGATACATAACCTAATTATCTGAGTTCATACGATTGAGAATTTCAAAAATTTTAAGTAGTTAAGGATAACCAATATACTATATCTCAAAAATGTACTAAGTAGGTATAGTCAGGGTTCTAAGTAAAAATGTTCGGAACCCCTGAAAACCTCACGAGGACTGAAATCGTGTCCTTCTATCCAATCTATCTTATATTATATAAAAAACTATTTTATAGAAAAACAACTTTGTTCTAGTGATTAAGGATAATCAGTATGTTATATTTCGAATATGTACTAAGTAGATGTGGTCAGGGTTCTATGTAAAAATGTTCAGACTCCTGAAAACCTAGATTGGGTCTAGTGATTGAACCCGGCCCGAGTTTGCAGATCGTTACACAAGTAATTCAATTGATTTAAAAAT